CTTTACTATTTTTACCTAAATTGGCTGAGAATAAATGTACCACTATTATTTCGTTATTTACTAAGGAAATAATAACTATTCTAAAGGTACTTTGAATTTTGAATTATGCATTCATATTTGTTTGTATTGCTTTAGTAGTGCCATATTCCTCATGTAATTAAGGCAATTTCAAGGAATCCTGAGGATACCTCATTCTTTTTATGGCATATGATGGACGAAAGCTCAGCCAGTTTTCACTTGAAAAGAGGGAGGATGTCTGGTGGACTCAATCAAATTGCATGTCGTCTAAAAGCCACACGGCTTCAGTGCAACGGTATTCAGCCGTCCTCTACTGGTGAAATCGACCTTCAAATCTCTTCTTCATGCACTTTCATACGAAATGAAAATTTTCAAAATAATGTTATCTTAGGAGATTTATTTAAACCCAGTTACTCTTCATATCTACATTATTTTGCTGCCCAAACAGGGCTTTTTATCTTTTACTTTTTCTGGTATATGAAAGATGCCTAAGCTTTTCATTTCCGAAACTTTTAAGAGGATTATAAGGCTCGTATAATCTAATCTATTATTAATATTTTATTCTCTACTATTCCGCTATTATTCCTTCAGTTGGACATTTCTGTGGCGGTTAAACTTTGTTCGCCTTGGAATCCCCTGGCTGTTGGCCGAACCATTTTGGATACTTGCTTGCCCATCTCCTCTGATATTTCTGAAAGCACAGGACAATTAAAGCCTGCCAACAGTTCTAGCAGATTTGGTCATAGTGGTCAAGAGCAGGCCAGACAAGGTGGTGATGGAGCCAATCTGAACGATGCTTTAGTCCTTTATCGACAAGAAAAGCGACGCTGGGAGCTGAGTCCAATGGAAGCCAGTTGTATGGCTTATCAAGTTAGCCACTTGTCTGGTGGTCGGTTTATATCAATTTTTCCGAACCAGTTTTCATATCTTTCGATCACTCGACTTTTTTTATATTTATTCCTCTCTATCTCTCTTTCCCTTTACTTTTGTCTTCCCATTCTTCATTTCCGTACAGGAGCTACGTGCCGAACTCAACGTTCTCCTCCGCCTTTTTCCTGTCTCTATATGCTGGCACCACTTACTCGATGCAATTAGCCCTTTCCTCGGATCAGCCTCTTGTGATACCCCCAATTGTGGTACTAAGCAGGTTAAACCCGGCTTTGCCTCCAATCTCTTGGATTTTACTTATGTCAGAAATTCTGCAAAAACGACCTGTGTAGGGTTGATGAAGCAAGAATGTCAGTCCCGACAAACTTCCCATGAGCTGGCAGATACCTTAGTCCCTCTGCATCACCTTGTCTTTTGCTTCGGTGTACTCGGTCCAAAACCACTCGCTTTTTTTATGCCACTGGCGCACTGGGGGACCTTAACGGAATGCCTGCAGGCTGTCAGACAGGCTACCATTTTGGAGCGGAGAGACTTCGACCTAACTGCTCCATCAGTTTCTAGCCTGACAAACGCTAACCAAGCTGGGACTTTCGAGGAGCCAAGATGCCCCTGTCGAAGAGCTCTAAGCTGGCATCCCATACATCCGGTTACGATAGGCCTCATTGTGAACCAGGTGAATTTTGGCCAGCACTTTCTCTTTTCTAGAAAAATATACTATTTTACCTTTATTTACTTTCTGTTCTGAGACTCAGGATTTCATGTAGTGAAATTGTGAGGTGGCTCTGTAGCCTAAATTTTTACCTCATGATCTTCACGTCTTAGTTTCTAAGCCCACCAAATATTCAGATTATACCTAATGAAACCATTTTAGTGAGGAGTCATAATATTCATGCTATCAGCCAAAATGCCAGTACTTGGCATTGTATTGGCTTTTAAGCTTCACTTTCGTGGCTTCTTATCCCCTATTTTGGCTCTTTCTTCTGGACCAGGTCGCCTCAGCTTTGGCCTACCTTCACCATTTGTGTATCATCCATCGAGATCTCAAGCCTGACAACTTACTCGTATGGCAGTTTCCTCCTCCCTCGCCTCGATTGCCTCTCGAGGCCGACTACTCTCCTATGAATCGCCAAGTCAACCAGCAACAGAGCCTAGACACTAGATTCGATCCCCTCAAGGTGCATCTTGTGCTAACGGATTATGGCGTCAGTCGAAGTAGAGGTGGTTTCGACGGTTGCCGAGGCTATGTGGGTACCGTTGGCTATATAGCCCCAGAGATTTTGTTGTCTGGAGGTGCCGAAACTTACACGGAAAAGGTTATTTTTCCTTAATCTATTGTTCCATTATTTATTGATACCCTGTCGTTGCCATTTTATTACGCTTTTGTCGTCACCTTGGTTGCAAATAGCGATTATTTCGACACGAAAAAACAACTATTTAAATATGATATAAAGTTATTTTTTTCTAAATCCTATGTTGGGCCATTTTTCTTCTTAAAATATTTCTAATAGTTTAGGAAGAAATCATAAATAAAAGTGTTAGCGCTTAACTTAAAGGTACTTTACCAATTTTAAATTCCAACACCATAGATAGTAACATAAATTGTTTTGATTTACCTATAGTTCTACAAACTAAGTACTTATCTTCAGCACTAATATTCACGTTCTCATCCTTTATTTTACAAATTAATCACAAAGATACTATTCACAAGTTCACTATTTGGCATCCATATTATTATTGTCGCCGTATGCTGAACGATCTTCTTGTCAATTGTTCCTTCAAATGAAATTTATTCCTAATTATCTCATTGTAAACTATCCTTGCCGTTGCTGGCATTCTTTTCCAAATATACTATTTTCTATATCCTAATTAATATATAATAAAAATCATACAATATTGTTATGCGCTATAAGGCCAAAACTTTCTTAATGTCACTTCCCACCTTGTGTGGGATACAAATTATGCATTCTAATTACTGAAGTTGGTGGTTTGGCCCTATAAAGATCTTAACTGCTACAGAAACTAGATAAACTTCTTCATTGTCCAGTTAACTCAGTTCCTAAGGGAGCTGAAATTTTTTGAAATTATTTATAGAATGAGGCTAACGATGAAATGGTAGCTTAATATACTGTGTATAAGGAGACAAGTTGGATCCAAGGTATTCTAATCATTTGTGTTCTATGTTTTATCTGCATTTAAACCGCGCTTTATGGTAAATTAGATGCATTTTTATGGACATGCATAAATTGATCATTTTTCGTTTTCTCATTATAACGCCTTCATCTTTTCTAATTTAACGTTACCCATGTTTTCTTCAAAAATCCGTTTAGGTGGACATCTATTCCCTTAGCATGCTAATGTGTGAAATCATCAAACTCGGCCCTCCCTACGATGCTCAAGCTAATGTCCAATTCAACCTGGGGCATAAAGTCATTTCTGGATTTAGGCCTGAACTATCCGACTCGGTCAGTTCTCTGTTCACATCGCTTTATTTGATGTGATTATACTTCTTTTTTTATTTTGGTGCGTTATTATCAGAGAGAAAATTGGTTTATTCACGATTAATTAAGATCATAGCCTGACTTCTTTTCTCCAAATTATTTTTTTGCCTCACATAGGCATAGGCTCCTGCTGAATTTTTTAAACAGTCTATGTAATAAGGCTAGCTGTGGAATAGTACATATACATTAAGAGAAGTTGGATCAATGAGAGATTTCTCTTAATCAATTGCCCTTTAATGTATCTGAAACGTTTTGGTAGGCTTTGTATTCGATTCTGGCAAAGATGTTCTAAGCTCAACCTTTCATATGACTTGCTAGTTTGGTTTGGTTGTAATAATGAATCCTGCTCTGATGATGTTTGTCATATGACAGATGGTAGGTTACATTTATTTCTCATATGAATCGAAAGAGGCTTTCGTTATATAAGTAGGTTTTCGAGACTACCAGTAGAACATATATGCGATATTCACCTTATTTCTTTTACAAAGAACTGATAGTTGAATTCTCCCACATTGTTATGAGTAAACCTCGTTTTTATCTTGAATTTCACATTGCTTTGCTTTCCAAAATATATTCGGTTTCGACCTCCTAGATATCCTCAGCATTGTGGCATAGCAGTTAACGTCTCAAGATTATAGGTGAGGTCGAAACTGCGGTCCATCCTGGATGAGATTAATGAGAATCTCATCAACCTCATCCGAATGGTAGGGTTTCCTAAGGTTACAGAAATCAAGAGTGATACCATAACGTTTTCAACTGTTTAAAAAGGTTAAATGGCAAGTTTGGCTTACAATAGTCTTCTTTTTCCAGCTCCTTTCAATGCATTGTCTGGCGATATTACTACAGTAGTTTAATTCAAGATATGAAGACCAAGATGGTGTGGCCTTTCGTATGGTGGCAGTCTCCTTTCGATGTTTAGAAGTGGGTAGACAAGGAACGTCTAGCTAAGTCGTCCTGACAACATAACCAAGTTGCGAAAACGAGGTCAACCAACTTCTATACATCGTAAGGA